AAAAAAAACCCGGGCCGGGTCGTGAAAATGGTATCTCTGCATGTCTCTGATAGATATAGAAATATAGAGTTTTGTTTTTGTCTATGATAATATTATGATTAAATTTATTTGAAAAATGGGCGCCGATATTACTTTTTATAAACGGAAATTTAATTTATAGCTATAGTCACACAGACACAGCGTACTTTTTAAAACACCTAGAGTCATATGTAAAGGACACAGTGGCCTCTGCAAAGGGGGGGGGGCAATTTTCATAAGAGAATATTGTACCACATAATGATGGAAAAATTTATTGAAAATTTTAAAAATGTTAAATATGGATTTATAAATATAATTATTTTATTAATACTAGTTGTTGTAAAGCACAAATTGTTGTATGTCTTATTCATTTATTAACACAACTATTTACTTAATGATATCATTTTCTTTCACGTGATAGATATTAACAATTTGATTAACTAAATTAAAATCAAAAAAGTATTTATAGTGAGAATTTTTTTTAGTTAGATAGTTATATACATTATGAATTAAATAAAGTAAAATTATTATATTAGAAAACTTCATGGCTTATAACATGGATTACTACAAAAAAAATATTGTTTAATTAATTTAACTTATTATGAAAGTTTTGATAAATGGCAGAATATCATTCGCGATATTATTGTGAATCTTCATAGACACATTGATGGCGTATTATGGAAGACTTGCTTAATAATCGATCAATCATAAGATTAATAAAGAGGTGTTTTTTTAATTGATTTCTTGTAACTAAGCCTTGAAGGAGCACGCAACAAGAAGGTAATATTATAGGTCTTATAAAACTTATAGCAGATTCCAAACCTGTTATCAAATTATATATATAAAAAAATTAAGAAAGAAGGGCTAAAAAAGAAAAAGGGATTAAAATACAATTTATATTCCATTCTTTTATTGTATATTGAAGCCAAAAATATGCTTATAAAACATTCAAAAGAAATTGAATCTATAGAGGCATAAATTATAGTCGATAATACCATATGATGTTGCTAAAACATAAGCAATGGTTTAGTAAGATATAAATCAGAGACCTGCAGACCCAGCCCTGAGTCCAGATTTTAATTTTTTTAAACCCAGGCCGGGCCGTATATTAAAACCAAATATTTTAAATCATTATTATCTATAAAAATATATAAAATATATTTTAAAAATCCAAGCCAGGCCGTGCAAATGATATCTCTGCAGGTTTCTGATTTAAATATATTGAAAAAGGTGAAACACCAAAGTCAGTTGAAGGACTTATTGATATATATTTTAAACACGACTGGTGCTGATATTAAAAAAATAAATTATACAAACTTAATCCCCTCAAATTCTTAGTTTGGAAAAGATAAGATGGTGCGTCAAGCATGAGTGGAAAGATCAACTACAGACCTTGACTGGAGCTGAGACCCCAAAGGTGGTGGTAAAATTTAATCATTGTTCAATTATGCCAATCTGATGGGAACTAAGTATTGTTTTCTTAGAATTATCTTATTTGTTTAGATTTAAAATGTTTCTTTTATATATTTACAGAAGCTAGTTATTATCATATAAAGCTATTAAATTTTTTTTATAATTTATGATGCCTTGAGGGTAGCTAAGACAAATTTAAAGGAGAGAATTCTGACATTTTTACCATGGATAGTGCTATAGCTTTTAAAAAGGAAAATTTGATTTTATTTTATCGCTTTGTATTTGCATAAAATATTATTGATAACAAGCTTGGCTTGTACAATATTGCAAACCATGTCAAAGGATATTGATTTCTTTGAAACCAATTTTAAAAGACACATCATTCTTAATAACAAAACCAATATCTGCTTCCATGGTAACAATTCCAGTGATTTACCAAGTTGCAAAATTACAGACCTATGATATTTCATAAAAGTGATAATTTATAAAGTTGGGTTTAAATTTAATTTATCCATCATCAAATTAAGGAGAAAATTCTAATTCTTAGTCAATCTTGATAATCTATCAGCTAGTAATCATAAAAATGCAATATACTTATGCATATTACCTTATCAAAAGATATATAATCGTATAAAATTCAAATATTTATTAGATTGTGAGATTGGATCTTTTTTAAGGGTTTTTAATGATGGAAGGCACAAAGCACTCCCTTGTAAATTGTTCTCCAGAGTTTTGAGTAAGTTTGAATCTGCATGACAAGGATCCATTCTTCAATAAGATCTTTATTGTAAGAAAATATATTTGATAAATTTAACAATGATACTATGAAAATTTAAATCCTAATCCTGGGATGAAATGGCTAGGTTATATTTTTTAATTTTAAAGATTTTCATTTATTAATAATTTATCTAAATCTGATCTGAGGCATCTTGACCTTGAGCATACAATGTGAAATATTTATTAAAATAAAATCATATGTAACATAAATTACCAATATCTTTAACGACTTCAGGTGAGGTATCTTGAGTATTAAATAAAATCAGTACCATTAAAAATATTAAAAATAAAATATAATCTAGCATCACATGATAGAAATTAATTGTCTTAACATTTGCATGATGATTTTTATTGGAAGAATATTTAAAAAAAAAATACTATTGGCTAAATTTGATTTAAGTTGTGACACGGCTTTTATTATATAGATCCTTTCAAATTTTTATGCTTTCTTTATATTTTACACAAAATTAACTATTCCTACAATCCTGTCGAAAAGATCATGCTCATGAGCAAAATAAAATTAATTAAAACAAAACTTCGGAGTACTATGAAAGATCCATATCTTAATAATCTGCCATTTTATTGTGATAAAATTTGACTAATTATAACTTTTTCTCTTTATCTTTCCCTAATTTGTATAAATTATTCATTTAAAAAAATATTTTAAATTCCTTTACTTCCAATTTTATATAGTTTTTAAAGTTTATGATATTTTTTAAGATAATATTTTTTACATTTTTATAGTTAATAAATATTAAAGATCGATGCAATAAAAATTATTTTACATATTATTTTTGAAATTTATAATTAAGGGTGGGAGTCAAAATATATTTAACTTCTACTTTTTGGGTGGGTGAATTTTTTTCATAGGGGTATTTTGTTCTCTTAGCTCAGGAGAGGTAGTGGCCACTGACACTGTGAAACAGAAACTATGTGACTAAAAGGTTATAAGTAAATTGAATGTTTAATCTTATAATATCTGCAATTCGCATTTTCTAATTATTATATTTAATTTTTTTATAAATCGAAATTAATCAGATTCGTTCTATTAAAGCAAAGATCGTGTATAATGAATTAAAAGTATTTTATGATAATTAATAAATTAGTATTTTCATTGATATTTTAAACAAAATTAAATTAACTTCAATGAGAAAAGAAAGGAAGAAAAGTAGATGCCTTACACATGGAAAAGCATGGTCATACATAAAATAGAATGGCATCAGTGTGCTAATAAATTTGCCAATGTAAGATTCTTCATAAATATTGTTGCATTTTTTGTATACTGTACATTTGGAATAAGCTCTTTGTAAGATGTATATAGAGATGATATGGCTAGATGTGATTAATATAATGTATCTTAAATGTAATTTTATAAAATAAGTATTAGGCCATTTCCAGACAGAACGTTTTTTCAAAGGGTTTTTGGGTAATGTTACCAGCAATTTTTTATTATTTCCAACAAAAGATACAAACTTGTAATTAATTTTTATTATATAATATAAATATTTAAAACAATCCGGAGCCACATTTCAGGAGCCATTTAATCGTTATTAAAATCAAATTTACAATTAAAAAAATAGGTATCGATTGTTTTTTTTAAATATCATATATAAAAAAAGGAATTCCACAAGTAAGTTATTTTTTTGGAAAGTTAGTAACATTACCCGAAAGCGCTTTAAAAAAACGTCTGCCTGGAAATGACCTTAGGAATTTTATAAAATTGCAAAAATTTCTTTAAAATCGAACCCAGAACGTGAATATGGATGAGGGATTATTTAAATGGAATGCCTTTAATTGGGAAAGATAATAATATTTTGCAAATTGTTTTAGTAGTAGTCAATGGATAAGGTTTATCACTGACCCAGAGGATCGTTGTTCCCAAAGTTATATTGCTATTGATGGATACAAATATTAAAATAAAAGTGAAGTATACAGATATAATAATCACAATAATTTAACATAGTTTGTAGGATGAAAATAAAAAAGGATATATTAAATGTTTTAAAAAAAATTTTATCATGCCGAAATGAAATATATGGTTTTTGGCTTGGATCAAAATTTATAAGTAGAAATATAATATACAATAGCAGAAATAGAGGTATTGTATTAAATTTTATTTTGGAGATGCAGTGGGTGCAGTTGTACGCCCAGGAGTCCCAAAAGATGAAACATATAAACTCAAAATTTTGAAACTATTAAAAAAGAATATTTTTTAAATTTTAATATCGATAAGGTATTTTATCCTGTAAAATATACAATTTGCTTCAAAACAACCACTCAAGTTGCATCCTAGCTCAAATTTAATTTTTCTTCTTAATAATAGAGTATTCTATTTAAAAGTATCTACGCTTTAAGGTGTATTTATTTATATTTTAAGGTCTAAAAAATAACATTCTAATCAGATCATTAATTAGAATTTTAAACAGAAAAAAGACGTGCTATTACGACGCAGCCTTATGGATATTATAGGATAGATTATTTAATAAGATAAAAATATACTATTTTATTTATTTTATAATTTATGCTTATTATACCGAATTTTTTTTGCCTTAAAGCCAGTATTATTTGGTACATGCATTAATAATTTTAATTAATTTTCCAAACAAATCATAAACATAAATTTTGGTTAACTACCAAAATTTATAGTATATTTTGAATTTTTTTTTAAATATAGCGCAAATCTAAATCTAAAAATTGCCTTCAAAACTAAAAAAAAACTTTTTAAAAAGGTAAAAATTTTTTTTTTTATTTTGTTTGGATTCAAAATATTTTTATTACGTTATCTTTGTATCAATATCATTATATACATATTCTTCATAAATAGAAATTTATTTTAAAATATAATCTCTTGAGCATTCATTATATTAGGCTTTTTATATATTGTTAATTAAAACATAATCGCTTTCAAATTAAAGTAGTCTCTATATGCATCGTCTTAGAGTATTCTTTTAAATGAATCTTATAAATTTAATATTTTTCTAGATATTACAATGATAAAATGCACGGCGAATATCAGGTAAACTATTTATTTTGATTAAAATTGGTTATATTATATTTTATTTAATATATTTGAGTAATAGTCTTTTAAAATTATTAAAATTTTCAAATGGATTTTTAAATCAGTTTTTTGATCCCTTGATCTAACAGGAACATTACATTTATAGTATTATATATTATAATATATCATCTTTTCTTTTTCTCATATTTTGTGGAAGATGTATAATTTATATTTAACTGATTTAAAATTAAATATTAAATATATCAGAAAAAATATAGCGGCAATTCTGGAAAAACCCCAATTTTATTATATTTAATTGAGCCAAAATTTTTCAGATATAAAATGAGTTTACTAGCTTATCTTCCATTTTTTTAAAAAATACGCGTGAATATTTTACGCCAGACAGTGATTTATAATATATAATTTAAATTAAAACATCGATTAAAAATTAAATATTAAATATCATATCAAAAAAAACATAGTGCCAATTCTGGAATAAAACCCAATTTTATTATATTTAATTGGGCAAAACTTTTTCAAATGGAAAATGAGTTTACAAGCTTATCTTCCACTTTCTTTTTTTTAAAAATATGTATATAAATATTTTCCGCGAGACAGTAATTTCTACGTAGAGCAAGACATAATTCCATCTGTCTAATACTCTGCATTAGATATTCTGTAAAATTAGTTTTTTAGCAATAAAACAGATGAGGTGTATTTTAGAAGATTTAAATATTTATAATCCTTATGTTGAAATAAATAAAAGTTATGTAAATATTTTTTTCAAAAATCTAAAGTTTATTTGCTTTATAAAAACATACTTCTTCTATGTTTTAAAAACAATCTTTTATTTAATAATCGAAATTTATAAAATAATTAGAATAACATGTAAATTGCATATTTGGTAACATATTTAGAAAAAAATAAAAAATAAAATTTTGTTAAAAATAGTTATCTTCCTCTGGTGACGGCCATGAATCTTTAAATAATTTAAAATTGTAACATTTTTCAAAGCTGATTTTTTTTTAACCAAAAGGGGCCTTTGAGATTGGTGTTTCATGGCTCTTATGGTTAATTAGTTTGATTAGGGATATCCTCTTTCCCAAATGTTGAAATCACAATGGTAATAAATATATAATTGGCGGCTAGATATGAATATTTTGGGAATTTCCTGTTTTCCACTATACCTAGTAATTATTATTTGATGGGTCAAAAATGTCCATACATGTGAAATCCCAACTTATGTTTCACGATATCCCAGAGATTAATGTATGCCCATCAGGCCACAAGTTATCGATAATAGAAGTATCCCGTGAATGCTGATGTGAAGGAACGTTTGCTTTGAATAATGAATTTTGCATTATTTAATTAATTCGTTCGTCCTACATATTTGTATCTATTCACGAGACAATGGAATGGATATCTAGCTTTCAAATCAACCATTACCCCCATCTTTTATAATTATAAGGTAGATATATGTCTAAGCCAAGCCTGAGCCAAAGCATATTTAAATTCTTTATTTGTCAAAAGATATTTATTTAACATGCTTGGATATTCTAACCATTCGTGGCTTAATTCATCCACCAATGAATAAAGGTTAGTAGTCTGGTGTCATTGCTCGAAAGTAGATAATCGATGAGGCATGACACGATTACAGCATCCCAATCCTTTTGTAAATTAGAAAGTGAATAAATTGCGCTAATGGATGTGTTAGCAGACCAGCATAACAATGCATTGTTTAACATGGTCTCCTCAAAAGGTTTAATTAATTTGAGAATTAGATTTTTGATTTTTAATAATGCTGAAATAAAAGAAACCAAGGCAATGGGCAGTGGCTCCTACACTTTGGAGCGATGGAAGCAGAATCCCCCCTCCCATTCTTCAAAAAATGGTTAATTATTTTTTGACACCCATAAATTTCAAAAATAATTTATATTGCATCAATCTTTATAAATAAAATGTAAAAAAAATATATACTTTAAAAATATTATTTTTAAATTAATAATTAGGGGAAGTGAAAGCGAAAGAATTTACAATTTCATCAATAATTAATTGTTTAAATAAATTTATTTCCATGGATAAAATGGTTAAATTATTAAGAAATGGATCTTTCATGGTACTACGAAGTTTTGTTTTAAATAATTTAATTTTACTCATGACCCTTTTGGCAGTACATGAGGTAGTAGGAATGGTAAATAAATAATAAAATTATTAAATTAGGGAAAGCAGAAATATTTAAAAGTAGACGATAAGGTAAAATAAACGAATAATTTTTCCAGCCTGAATCATAAGTCTCAGAATTATCATCATCAGAAGAAGAAGCTAAGTTATATATTAGATTATAATAAATATTTAATTATAAATTTACAATTCTCAGAATCTGATAAATCTTTAGATCCTTTAAACTCTAGATTACGTGTAATAATTACATCCCCCGTTTTAGTCATCTTATAAATATTTCGAAACTTCAAAATTTCTTCAAAAATTTGACTTGAATTTAAATGGTAAAATTCACAGATATCCTCGATATCATCTTTAACGATTGACTTTTCCACCATACCTTTAGTGTAAAAAATAAAGTTTGATTTAAGAAATTTATAGATTCATCGATTCATCATTAAATCTTTCATTAAACTGATGAAAGTATGTATACCGCTTCTTTTTGGATTGTAATGTTTGAAGTCTAAAACTCTCAAAATCAAAAGGTAGATTATTCTCCTTCATAAAATTTTGTGCCTTTGAAAAAACATCTTAAAATTCAGTGTTATTATCTATTAGGATTAAAAAATAATAAAAGACATAATTTAAATTATACTTTTCAAATTAATCAGGCAATCTTTTCCCAATTGAATTTGATTCTTAAAATGTAATAATAAGCCTCCCCCATTATTTAATTTAATAAACGGAATCACGAGGTCGAGTCCGACATCATAAACCAGAAATCACCTAGTTATGGATGGGTGTAATATAACAATAAAATTAATAAATTTTTTAAAATACCCCCACTCAAATTTTTAGAAGCAGTTCCTTCGGACCCCTCCCGTTGTAGGGGCCACTGGCAATGGGTAATGGTGATCGTAAGCCTATTCCGCCAGATTTTGTTGGTAAAATGGTTTGCAACTAGCTATTTTGGTGAATTAATTTGTGGTTGATTATATTCTCCAATATCGTTTTAAATTTTTTAATATTTTAGGAGTATAGATGGGAATAAATACTTGCCAGATGAACTGAAACAGAATTATATTTTGGGAATATTTAAAAAAATTTAATTAAATAAAATGCCTGATGGGAAGGTAAATGCTTGAGAATATTTTTTTTGAACAATGGTAAGTCAGATTGGGTTCCAAAAATGTTTGGATACCTGAAGATCCTCCTATTGATGACCCGAGAACGAAGATTTTATTCTTAATCACACAAAAAGATCAATCAATAGTGGAAGAAAAATTTGTAGTTGAGTATATTTCACATTTTTTATAATTTAAGGACAAATTTAGTGGTTGAAAATTTAATGATGATATCTATAGCTTTAATTATTTGACTGATAGGACCCGATAATGTGGCATTATCCAAATATAAAACATTGAGATCGAGATTTAAATTGGTTTGTATATTTGACGAGTGGATCTCCTTGTTGTATAATGTAAAACTAAAAATGACCCCAGTTTGTCTTTAAAAACCAACATGAGAGCACATTTACCACCTCAAATTTCTAAATGTATCCATAAAAATCCCTGGTCTAACAAATATTTGCGTTGAACTGAAATTTGACCTGCTTAGAAATTTACTATAAAATTTATTCAGTTCATAATAAATACGCCAACATTAATGAAATTAAATCTCACGCTTTATATTTTTTTTAAAAAAAATGATAATCCTGGGCGCTCTTACATCATTTGAGAGGAATAAAGTCCAATCAGTTGTATTTTAAATAACTATTTTAATTGGTTAAAAATAAATATATTTTAAATCTAGATATAATAATATTCTTAATAAAATAAGTTATAACATTTTACAGGGTATATATAGGATTGATAACAAAATAATCTAATGCAATTTGGAGATTTACAGTATCAACCAAGAAATACCATATCTAATTCAACTCAATCCAATAACAATATAGGTCATTTTTAACATTTGGATTTTAGGTCAATTAATTTTTTGATATATTATTATTTACAGATATTAAATTAAATACTTTTCAGTGGACAACTGGCAATATATTAGGAGCAATAGCATCCATTATCATCTGTGGCACAATTCTTATGATATTTGTAATTTGCATCATTCACACCTTTAAGAAAAAACTCAAGTTAATTATTTCATAAAATAACCATGAAATCAATTATAAATTGCGTAATTTAATATATTATCCCCGAAGATTATTAAGGGGATGAAACATTAAATATAAAAACGTATTCGTTTTTAAGATTTGAAAGTTATTTTTTTTAAAAAAATAAAAAGTAGTCTATATTCTATTTAGCTATAACATAAATACAAAAAATTAGCATATATGTCCTTAAAAATAAGATTTAGGAAAACATTTTTTTTAAATCGCTTGTAAGATATTTAATAATAACCATTTTGAGGTTTGGGATTATAACTTATTAATAGAAAACGAAAAGCGAATAGTATGGGTAAAAATATTTTTATCAATTGTTACTTTAGGTTTCCACAATCTATTTTAACTTAAAATATAAAAGGCATGCTTTCATTTTTATAAATATAAATCTATCCCTAGCCCATATATTTGTTTTGAGCGAAATCATGCAGACCCTTTTAAATATTTTGGGTCATGAGAATAATGAATATCCTCATTTTTCACAATTTTTACTTGATCTGCTTAGTTTTAACCTAAGCACGGGTAATATCTAGGATTTATATTATAAAATGGGTGTGATATTGTTGTTAAAAACTCGATTTGAGCCGATTTATAAAAATGGCTGACTTAATATTTAATCCAGAAAAATAATGCTCAAGCCTAAAGATTTTACTCATAGATGGCACAAAGTTTTGGACATCTCTAAGAGAAATCTCGAAACTAGGAAATATTTTTGCTAAAATATTGAGTTATCTGTTTTAAAAATCGACCCAAATTGAGCTATTTAATAATAATAGGCATGCGTATATCATGACTAAAGATATTTTTCTATTATGGCTCTGACTAACCTTTAGTTTTTATATTTTACAGCTTTAACCTAAATTTAACCTAACCCATCAAACTTAAATATTTAGTTAAAAGATCTGGTTTTTGTCGTCAATATAACATAATTACACATTTTTTTAATATGGAAAAGGAATTTTTTTTTTTTTTATAATTATTATTACATTATTAAAGTTTAGCTTTTGTAAATTCAATTTTTGTAAGCATTTTTCATTTCAATTATATAATAAAAAAAATTTAATAATTTCTTTATTTTTTTTGAGTCCGATAATAACATTGACGAGATACTAATAATTTATTAAAATTCGATTATTTTTATAAAAATTTCAAACAATTTAAACTAGAGATCTTGAAATATAATTCTCGTGAAATAAAATTATAAAATTTTTACAAAGAAACAAGGCACCAATATTTATTTTTATATGTAGAATATTATATTTTTTCCAATTAAAAAAATTATTAATTTTTTTTTAGGAAACTAGGACCCATCCCATAATTTTATTTTGTTCGGTATAAAAATTAAATAAAAATTTTATGATTTTTTTAAATCAAGTTTTTTCATAGAATCTTTATTAAATTAATTAATAAAATGTACAATTTAACATAAAAATTATAAAAAAATTAATGTTATGGATATAATTTTTTTTTTAAATATAAAGAACAGGAAATATAAATGTATGTCCTATTTAAGGTAGGAGTAAAATGCGGAACAATTTTGAAGATATATTTGATGATAAAGATTAATAACTTGTAATGTTCAGTGTAAAAATTATATTGGGGAAAAAATTAATTTCTATATTTATAAATATATTTAGGCCGAACCTGTGGTGGAAAATAGTTTTTATTTCAGGACGGGCTTTTTGAATATTTTAAAAAAATCAATCGGGATCGTACCGAGTCTGACAAATTTTTTTTAAAAGGGCAGGCCTTTAAAAATTAGACGTGCGATGCAGACCACTAATTTGAGCCCTATTGTCGATATCGTGTCGATAATGTATTGAATAATTATAATCATATTATATTAAAGTTATATTTCAATAAAAGGATCTTATTAAAATTATATATCTAAATATAATATTAGATAATTCCGATTTTTAAATATTTAAAGCTTCCTTAGCAGGGAACAGCCTCAGCAAAATGTGGGAAGAGATGTTAGAGTTATTTTAAATAGCAATATTGCAATTCCGCCAATTCAGGAGAATCCTCCTCCATATGACCAAGTTAAAATTATTTTTTTATAAATTAAATTTTTGGTAAGTTATCCTATTAAGAGTGCAAATTTAAGTTACCTACACCTAGTAATCTAATTCTTGAATGAAACTATTTATAAATGAAATGAGAATTATAAACTTATTTTCAATTTCACAATTATCTAGCTGCATATAATAAATAATAAATAAATGAGGTAAAAGTATAGTTGGGTATAGGTAAATGCTAATTCAGCTCAATCTACAGGCATATGCCGGAGAAAATTTATTAACTTTGAGGCGTTTTAATTCATAATAATTTTTTTCAAATTTGAGCTGTTATATTTTTAAGGAAAACCCCTAAATCATAGTGATAGTTATCGGCTAACAACTCGGTTTAACCTATTTTTTAGTCGGCTATAAAACATGGCTTAAACGGCTACAAAAATATTAATTATCCAACTATAGTTAAAAGACGTAATATAAATTGATTATAAGTTAATGTTTATAAATTTTTTAACTATTTAGTAGAATTATTATATGGTAATGTGCAATAACAATTTGAAAAATAATGTCTAGTCCGAAGGTAGTGAACTATAACGAGTAGTTTTAACTAAAGCTTTTATTTAAAAAAAAAACTTTAGGCACTTCTAATTTCATATTAATTTTTAATTAATGCTTTTCGATATATTTTGTTTGAAAAATTATTCGGAACATTTATTGATATATAAATTTCTTAACCATTCCCAGCATAGGTAAAAAAAATCATACCAAAATATAGTTGGGGTTCCCTCGGACACCAATTTAGATACGCTATATCTTAGAATTAAATTTATTTGTAGCTTTCATATTTTAAACATATAAACTTTAATAGAGTGACTCTAATTGTTATTTTTAAATTTTATGACAACTTTTACCAAGAAACAAATTATTTTAAAATGTACAAAATAATATTTAAAAAATATATATAAATAAAATTGATGATGTAGAATATTTATCTAATCTAAGGTTCATATATTAATAAAATATAATTTTTAGTATGTATAAAAAAGTGTTTATTTATGCTTAGTTACATCAATCCTAAAACAGATGAAGAAAAAGTTATACGGATGACCAGTGGGGTTATGCCGACTCCAAGCTCCATAAACACATTATAACACAGGAATTACTGAGCAAAATCAAAATTAATTTTGCACATAGATACTTTACCTAAAAATATTACGATATTAAAAGATCCAGGCAAAAATATAGAAAATTTTGAGTAATAGCGTTTTTTTTAAATGACTGGGGTCTGCATAGTCCCATCTATGCCGTGAAGGGTTAAACAAAATTTATGCAATGACAGCAAACATTCGAATATTTAAGGGATTCCTTTTGGTATAAGTGCAAAAATGTTGTTATGATTTTCAGTTTTATTGATTAGCAAAACAACTTCTTTTAATCATTCTATGTATAAATTAGGTTTAACATATTATTAACTATTTTTATTCTCACCATTATGTAAACATGGTATAGGATTTTCTCTGGTATATAAAATAGGTTCACATTATATTTTCTTACCGGACCACTCATTAGCTTAAGGGTAACCCTTTATGATCTCAGAGGAATTACGAAAATCCCTGACGAAAATAATTAAATAGCATATTAAATGTGGAGTGAACAAAATAGGTTTCGTAATGAATAATAATGGATAATTGAGGGCTCAAACCCAAATAGTGATATTGAATTTATTTGACTATAAAAATTTTATTATTCTAGTCAGTTAGAAAAAAGATTGAAGTGTCGATCAGGTATCCCAACTGAATCTTTAAATCGGTAACCGAGATAAAACCGAAGATAAGCTGTTAAGCACCCGAATCTGAACTGATATTTGTTATGATTCGGATCTCTCTTAACGATGATTAGCCAAACAGTGCCAGGTCAATTCAACTGGTAATACAAATGGTATGGTTTTAATTTCACAGTTAAAAAGTGGTTGATGAAGTTATTGAAGAATATAGAGTTGTTTAGTAAGAAGTAGGTAATGTAAAATTTTTAAAACTTAAGTATCTGATAAATAAAACTAGGTGAGGCAGATGAAATTTCAAGGGTAAGAAGCAAGTTATATGTGTGGCAAAATATTAAGATATTTACAATACAAAAGAGATGGAGAGAACATACTATATTGAATATCTAAGGTAAGATTAGAACGAGCTTAAGGTAAGATTGATAAAGAATAGATGTAAAATCTGATAACATATGATAAGAAGATATTAGAAAGAGGGTATTTTTAATAAGATTAGTTATCAAATTTGTTCTAAGATAATAAAAAAGCAAAAGTAAATTTCTCTAAAAAAGAGGAAGCAAGAAAGAATGGGCTCGGATGCAATGATAAACTGTAAGATTCTATATGAATTAGTTGATTATCTGTTCTTCTCCTAATAAAATGTAACATACAAGACTGTATTAATGTTAAGTAAAATATTCTTGATAGGTCAGCATTATGGATAAGGAATAAGGATAAAAGTGATAAAATAATCATTTTTGTTCTAAGCCTGATATATCATCTTTAAAAATATCATATAGCACAAGAATAATATTTAGATATATCTGTTTTATCAACTTCTAGAAGGCCTTGATAGAGTTCTTCGTAAAATATTTTGTCGAAACCTCAAGAGATGATTATATTTATCAATATATGTGACATGAGCTGATTTTCTCTTATACTATGCACTTAACGGTTCCATCAAGCCATACACTTTTAGATGTTATAATAGCTATATAAAATTCTCCTTGGGAAATGATGTTTGAAGATTATAGAAATGGTATACTGTATAAGCGTATAAAGAAATAAATTTATGAAGATAGAATAATGTGTAACCACAAAAAAAATCGTTTATAAAGACCATATTTTGTTAATCCAAATAATAAAGTCATAATTTTTACTTAAAATTTAATTATAGTAAGCTTTAACTATTTATGATACATCTTTCAATATTATGCTAAAGGGCGAGAAGACAAAATAAGGTAGAAATAGTTATTAAGGTAGATTATTTGGATAGGAATGTGTTTAAGAGGACTGATAATTTAACTAATCATCAATTGGAAAAAGAAATTTAGATTAAAATGGTTTACTTCCAAAAAAAAATGGGATTTAAAAATTTGATCAAGCACCTACATAAGCAAAAGAGTGATTTATTGTCAGTCTACGGGATTTCTATTACCTTATTCTCTAAAATAGTTTTTTATATGTCTTAGAATCAGATAACCTAGGAGGTTATTAGGATTAATTTCAATAGAAGTTCATAAGATAAATTCTTACATTTTAATATAATCTCTCAAATTTCGCTCCATCTTGCCAATGAGCTTGATTCAAATTTATGGGAATTTGTGACAACTTGAAACATATTAAAAACTACTATCTTAACTTCTCTAAAACTTAGTAAATCGTTGCCTGAGAATTAGGTTATTCCTTATCGACTTTTTGTCAAAAAAGGCTTTACATAAATCAATTTTTTATAATTATTCTATTCTATTTACGTAAAAAATCCGAAATATTTATAAAATAAGTTAAACTACAAGGATATAATAATGAAAATATAGGAATCGTTTTTAAAATTGCATTCCTGTATTATTACAAAAAGTGGAGATGGAATATTCTAATTCTCAGGCGAAGAAATATATAATAACTACAGGTGTCAAAATTATTCCTAAATAAAATTTTATTGGGTTAAACTAAAAGGGCCCTAAAATTTAATAAATTCAGACTTACTGGATATAAAAAATATCCACTAACAGTTACGGCTGGTCATTTTAGCACAATTGTAATTAACTGGCTCAAATATTGTTTGCTTAATTTTAAGATAAATATTGTAAATTATTATATTTATTAAAGTTGAGTGAGAAAAGCATTATTGAATCGCAAACAAAGTATACTGTTTATTATTTTTTAAAGTTATATATAATTTTTTTTTAAAATATGAATTCAAAAAAAAAACATAAAGGCTTTATATTCTCCTAACGTATCTCGTAAATCTATTTTTAGAGATGAAATTAGTAAAGAGATTTTGCCATCTTATGATGACGTGGCCAGTAATTCGGGTAAACTTAATTATAAACAACGCTTGATGTATTTGTAGAACAAAATTTATATACCAAAAGCGCATTTAAAATTTTATCTAAGCTCAAGAAATCAAAAAACTTGGATGTCAATTTTTGGGTTACAGCAAATAATTTAGAAAGAAAGCAAAACAGTGATCACTTGTTGGATCAGATCTCGATTTGCTCGTTCCCATTATGCAATAGACATTACAAAATGTTACAAATGAGAAATTTTACAAATTTATTAAAACCGATTATCCTTTTTAATAAAGGTATTAATATAAATTTTGTATGTTTATCAACAAATTTATTTAGAATTATATAAAATACCCTTAAACTTAAAAAAGCATGTTGTAAAAGTTCAATTTAATAGATCTACAGCAAATACTATATCCTGCTCGAATAAAATTTTAAAGACTCGATCTAGTTTAGGTATTGCATCTGAAGAATTTTTTTTATATCTAGCACTTCGTCTTAGCCAGGTCTTTGGGCTGAAAGTGAGGGAGATTTTTTGAAAGTGAATAGAAAGGGGAAAAAGGTGGTCTTCTGAGGGGAGAGGGATTTCGCAGAGAGTAAGGGAAAATGTTTAAACACGAATCTTTCATTCATTCCATTTTTAAAAAAAACAGCCCCTAATAAAATAAATAAAAAATTCCAGATTTAAGAAATGGAAAATCAGACTTCCCTCTAAATGCGGGAGAAATTCTTTCCGATACAAGATATGTAGATGTCACTAAAAATTTCACGTTTTATCGCATTTTAACTCTGCGCACACAATTAAAATAATATTTTTCTAATAGCACGTTATATTTCACACGAAAAAATCGGATTAAATAGACGATAAAATGTACACAAATACTTTAAACTAGTATTGTAAAGATCCCAATTTTTGAAAAATGCCCGATTAAGATTTTAGCCAATATTTTCTCATAGATGGCAGAAAGGTTTGGATCTCTATTTGCCAAATTTTTAATATTACATAATATTATTTTGGGTAAAATATTAATCGGGTCTTTTTCAAAAACCCACCTAAACCGGGCTTTTTAACAATCCTACTCCAAACATTAAAAATTTTGATTATATATCTTTTAAAATCTTAAGATCTTAGAGAGTCTGCTAATTTAATTTTAATTTTTCTCCGATTTATGAGTTTTTTAAATGATTTTTATAAATTTTATATCCACTTTTATTTTTCCCTTTTATTGAATATATATTTTATATTGTTGTTTTTTAATTTGATTTTTTTCTAATTTTCATTAATTTATAAGTATTTTATGATTTACAAATCTTATTTTCACTATTTTTATATAATTTTGATTCTTTCCCCATTAATATGTTGTAGTGTATTATATTGTTTTAAATTTTTAGCGCCACTTCCTCTCTTTCTCTTCCCATCCAACCCCTTCCATCCCTTCCTATCCAACTCCCTTCATCCGGCTGAAAGTCAGAGTAGGCTAGGGGGCAAAGCGGCATATAATATGACTAATTATTCAATATCATTTAGCATTTAAGTTTTTTTAAATATATTTTAACCTGCATTTATACTCCTAAAAGCCAAAGCCCTAATTGTAGCATATAAATTCATAAATAAATTCATAATTTTAATTTGATTATTCTTTATTTGTTATTATTTTTTAGAAAACGACCATCATCGAATAAATACTCTAGATACTACACAATCTATGCATAAATTATTTAGGGTAAACAGCCTATGCTCTACAATCAAACCCAAACATAAAACAATACAAAGATCTACATCTTTTAACTAAAGTCTCATTTATATTTCAAAACGAATATTATCTGTACGATTATATACTTTCAATTTTATTAATATTTTAAAAAATACCAATTTAATTTTCATTTCCTATTTCATAATTAATTCGTTTTTGAATAGGCCTCCTCTAAATATATAACCAAAACCAGATATATCAGGAAAAGGAGATATTAAATCGTTTGAAGGATGAAAATAAACCATATTATATTTATTATAATTCTTGTTTAACCCTTGAATGATAAGGTGGGAAAAACTAATGCGAATGGTTATGTAGGACATAGTTCACCCCTTAAAGCTGTTATATTCAAATTTTTTATATTATGCTTTGATATTTTTGAATTTATTCGATGTTTGACCATGTGTGAAAATTAATTTTCTAATAAATATATGCAAATAACCAAAATATTATGAATTAAAAATAGTATTTATTAAATTAAAGTAATCTTCATATAAAAAAAATTAAATGGTTTAAACATTCCATATTTCAGGTATGTCGTTAACTAGAAGCTTTGGGTGCTGCAGCAGCCCCTTTTGAAAAATTTAAACGAATTTTGAAAATTAGAAAAATGCATGATTATTTTGTTTTTATTAGATAGATTTAGTGCCGTTATAAATTATTTTATAATTATTAAAAAAATTTTACCTACTTGGTAAAGCACAGTGGCCCCTACAACTAGGGGAGGGGGACCTGAAGCAACTGCTTTTAAATTTGAGTGGGGGCACTTTTTTTAAAAAAAATTTTAAAAATTTTTGTTTTGCTACATTATCCATAACCAATTGGTTTCTGGTTTATATATAATAAAAAGACCCTCCCCCCTCACTTATTATTTAATTTAATATATATTGACGGAAATTTTGGTCGATGTTTAGTAAATTAGGTTGTTACCGAGATTTCTTGTCATAAATTATTCAATTTCAAAATATGCCCAAAAATATTAACCAAAAAAAAATACAAATGCTAAAAACATCGCATAATATAAGAAAAGATGATAAATGGACAGACCATTATTGGAAAAAGACATGGTGGGCTTAATTTTAATGATATAAAGAAAAGCTTTGAAATAGCTTTTAAGAATATTACTCATAATTGGACAAATAGCAAAGTAATTTTTTTATTAAATATTTAATTGTTTATACTTATCTTATAAAGGGTATTAAATCGCAATTTAAGCAAAAGAAGTAAAAAGTGGGAATTCAATGCTGTTGGTATAATAAATATTTTTATTAATATAATAATTTTTTAAAAGTATACTAATAATAACGAAAATGTGTTAAAAGAAAATATAGTATCTGACTCTGCTCTGATAATGATCATGAAATTTAATCGTGATATTATTGTGCATGAATCTTCACAGGCACATATGATGGCCGATTATGGAAGGCTTTCACACAACAAAAATTCCATATTACAATTTATAATATCCCATAAAGAATGTGTGGATAATAACCTTGCTATCATAAGAATAATAATAAGATGTGTAGGTTTTTTAATATCTCGTAACCAAGCCATCTGTGGGAACAGGCAACTGTCAAATAAAGAAGAGTTAGAACTAAAATATGATACTAAATCTTTATTAAATACTTAAATATAAAGTGAAAACATAATCCAAATAAAAGAAAAATAAAATTAATATAAATTAAAATTAAAAATTAAGTTCGCAAAATAATAATTATAATCATCTTACAAGTAAAATATTCCAGATTATATATACTTTTTTATACTATTCATTTACATAGTGTTTAAACAACAAACTTAAAATCTTGAACTTTATTTAATCTGAATAATAAATCTTTTTTATTCATTTTTCTTATTTGAATATTACAACACCCTTCCACTTAGATAAGACCCCATATTCTGCGAAATAATAATATTCGTGCATGTATCCCATTACTGTTTATTTCCTTTGCTCACTTACATCACCGATAGATTCTGTTTCTTGTCTTAGTCTGTCATTGATGAGCTCTTAGCACTGACAACTTGATTAACGCATGCCTTTAAACGATATACGATTTCTAATAAACGATTATCGATACTACGTCTTAAATTCTCCTGATAAATTAACTTGGTCTTGCTTGTTTCTAACGTTCTCTTGTAACTAATGATCATTACTTTATCTCGATCAACTATGTGCGATGCTTGATCTGCTTCACGAATTTTTTTGTTTCTTAGATCATCGATTTTGTATCTTATACTAAAGTTTTGATAAGCAATTGGTGATAATTTAAAAACGATTAACGATTGCATCCTGGTATTGACCTCTTGTTCTACCTAGTCGCTTGTCAATATATCAACTTCGTCTTAAGATCTCTTATATGATAAATATTTCTTTTATCTTTTGATCTCAAAAAAATTTGATCTCTACATGAGCTCGATTGCGGTATAAAATTTCTAATGAAGAAAAGCCGTTTCTCTTTATGAAGATTTTTGGTTAATCCACAACCTAATATTATATAAAACGATCACTTGTACCTATAACGATCTCTTGTGACGAATTCTTTTTAGCTAAACGACTAATTCTATTCTTTTCCGAATTATTACCCTTAATATTGATACCATTGTTTTATTGCTCTCATTCTTTGTCTTAGTCGATAGTCATTTCATACATCCCCCTCCCCCTTTATTTAGAATTTCTTTTTAGAGTTAATTAGACTGAATTGTTGAAATTGCCCTGGCGCCTCCTCTCTCCAACATCATTGTCAAAGTTAGGAGAATTTATGATTGGGAGATTATAACAGTTAATAAAGAAAAATTAGAACTAAAATATGATACTAAATCTTTATTAAATACTTAAATATAAAATGAAAACATAATCCAAATAAAATAAAATAAATATAAATTAAAATTAAAAATTATGTTCGCAAAATAATAATTATAATCATCTTACAAGTAAAATATTCCCGTATATTTTTTTATACTATTCATTTACATACTTAATTTTTAATTTTAATTTATATTAATTTTACTTTTATTTTGATTTGTTTTCACTTTATATTTAAGTATTTAATAAAGATTTAGTATCATTTAGTTTTAACTTTTCTTTATTTGACAACTGAGGCAATATGATGGGCCTTATTAAACTCATTGTAGATTCTGAACCTGTACTAGGATAAAAAAAAATAATGGATTAAAAACGAAATTACATTCAAATCGATTATCAAATAATAACATAAATATTCTCAAACCATAAAAAATATGGTTATAAAAAAAATTCAAAATGAGATTGAATTTAATAGGTGCTTTTCAGTCATAGTTGATGGCACATATGATGTTTTAAAATTAGAAACAATAACTTTGATAGTAAGATATGAAAATAGTGAGATGCCTAAGCCCATTGAAAGACTGATAGACATATATTGTATGGGAAATAAAACTGGTCTCGTAAAAAGAATATAATATCCAAACTTGGCTCCATAAATTTACCTCTTGAATTCCTAGTTGGGCAAAGCTATGATGGCGTCTAAAACATGAGTGGAATAATGGAGCTCAGGCTTTGATTAGAGGGAAGGCGTCAAAGGCGGTTTTTATTTGGTGCTATTGTCATCGATTAATTTTAATCATTGTTCAATTATGTCAATCAATAAAAGAATTGCGAAATGTTTTATTAGACGAGATTTATATATATTTTAATGGTATTAAAAGATGAGGTACTCAAAGCATGTCACAGAGTAATGCACCAACGATTTCTACGCATCAAGAATACCACTCGTTAATATTATCTTATTTGTTTAGATAGCAGCTGACTATCGTCATAAAGCTATTGTAAATTTTTTCTACTTTATGATGCTTTGAGGGCACCTTTAACAAATTTAAAGGATTCTGAAGATCCTATATATAATAACGCTGTATTTTTGGATAGAAATCTAATTTTATTAATGGGAAAAAATTTATTTAAACAATTAAATATTGATGAAATTATAAATTCTTTCGCTTTCTCTTCCCTCAATTTATTTAAATTATTCATTTAAAATAATATTTTTTTACATTTTATTTATATTATATATTAAAGAGTGACGCAATAAAAATTATTTTTAAAATTTATGGGTGTCAAAAAATAATTAATTGTTTTTTTCGAGAGGGGGGGGGTACTTTTCAAGGAGTTATTTTGCTTCCATCCCTCAGAAAGTGTAGGGGCCACTGGTAAAACACAATAGATGAAATGGTTAAAAATAAAGATATTATCTTATTTATAATACCAATTTTTAAAAAAGGTAATTTCTCCCTTAGATACAAGAAATAATTATTTTTCTTTCAATTCTTGTTATGAACCTTCTTTTTTTATCTATAAAATAAAGCCTCAAAGTATACTATGGTATAGAATATTTAAGCTCGTTTTCATTGATAAGTATATAAAATAAATTGAAAAATTTATCACTCATTATACTTGCTATTAATAACTTCTAAAAAAATTGATGTGTATTTTTGGCATACACGTAATTAGACGGAAAAATTAATTTTTCGGAGCTCTATTTCATTTTCATGGATTTTAAACAATTTTTTAAAATTTAAATCATTTATAAAGCGTGTTTTTTATTGAAAGACCTGATTTTACTTGGAGCGTATTCCGGTATCTAGAGAGTAAATTTCACCTTGAATTTTTTAATTATTATTTATTTTAATATTTGTTATAAAATTATGAAAAAATTATTCCAAATCAAGAGGGAATATGTTGAGCACATTACTCTAAAAATATAACGGCAAGCGGGATCGTTACTCAAGGAAAAAATATAACGGTTAAGTTGCTCTCGTTACCTCAAAATAAAGTTAACGGTTATGCTACTGTTATTCAAAACATGTAATGGTTACAAAAGCTCTTCTTTACTGTAGAATGTGGAAATTACATGTATGATTGCATTATAATACATATATAGCTTTTATAATGGAAATATATGGTATTATATTATTTATATTTTATGAATTAGTATATTCGTTAATTCGATAGTTTTATAATGATTATATATAGTATAATATCGAATGGCAGCGTCTGCGTGACAGGATTTTCACTGGATGCTAACCCTTCTCAAACTATGCCTACCATCCTAAAAATTTTACGCCTTTCGTTACTAATTACACCTTTTTAATTATACTGGAACTCCTCTTATAAATTTTAAAAAGAATAACTAATTATTTTAGCTCAACTACCAACTATCAAAATATTGTGATTTTAAAAGTTTTTTAGATCATTAATTCAATTAAAACCCCCTCATTTACAATGAATGTATTATAGCATATTGTTTGGCATGAATATGCATTTGCTGAGAGTATCTAACCCTTTCAAATTACATTTAAAAGGATAGCAGAAAGTTTTATTTGGAAAATAATGTATATGATTGTTTATATAGATTTGGTCGATGATCAGCAATATCATTGTATTATAATAGGTCTATAATAAAAGTATTAATTTTTACAGAAATATATTTTGTCCTATTATTTAAACCCCCCTATAAATTTATCCTACCCCCCTTAAAGGCGCCTACCCACCTCAATAAAAATTGGATACAAACTGTTCCTACCCCCTATCCCCCGTTCATGTTGACGCTGTCAGGTGGTATTGTTGCCTAAAATTATTAGATTTTAGAAATATATTCTTATATCCTGCTATCATTTATTTTGTTGCAACTTGCAAATCATTCAAATAATAAAAGGTAGTATAAATTATTACACTAATTTATTTATATTTTATATCGAAATTAATCTATAACAATAAAAAATATTATAATTTTAAGCATTTGACCAAAGAACTAATTTTTCAAATAGAACATTATTTAATCCTATTTTATTTTTATTAAGCAAATTGTCAAAATAAAAAAGGGACGAGCAGAAGATAGCAAATTTTTATTACAAGGAATAAAGATTTCTTTGCTTATTGAATGTTTACGTTGTATATCAATGGATCATGAAGATATAAAATCACTTCATCAATCTCGATATCATTGAAATTCTTTGTAGAGTTCAATTCCATCTCTAGAAATAAAAAAAAAATTGTAGAAGGGATTGTGTTTCGGGGATTATGCTTAGAAATTAGTGCGATCTTATCTTTAAGGATATTGCAGTTGCCATCAAAAGATCCTGCAGTTTTTTTTTATCATCCCCAACTTAATTTATAAAATCAATGGGAAATTGTGGTTAGAAATTTCCTATAAATTAATTTCGTCATCATCTACAATGATTTTGTCTTCTATAATTTCGTCTTTTAAAAAAAATATTATGAACCATGTTCTAAATTATTGTTATTTGAGTTGCAAATGAATGATTAAAAATAATAAAATAACGAAGTGGCGAAGTAACGCTATTTGAAACTTTTTGCTCAATCCTGGATACTCTATGCATATGCTGGAATATGTTTCTGACAAATATAATAAAGTTTATATTTATTGGAATTATAGAACTTATTTGTAGATCTAACCAAATCAATATCTTGAAAGAAAAGCAATATAATGAATCCGATATAAAACTATATTATAGTTAGAACTTCCTCTTAGAGGACAAGATGGGAGCTAGATAGGTAATAAAGAATTATTGTGATAAATTAAATTGCTGAAAGATTATCTTCCATTTTTAATGATATATAAATGACTAAAAAATTGCATACTATTGCTCATCTAAATTATACAATTAAATGCTCAGAGCATGGATGATAACTTAAATTACACAGCATCACAAATAATGGAAGCTGATTAATTTGCAATCATGGCCATGACAATCGCGGTGTAAACTCATATCAGAATTGTTAGATTTATATGAATTATTACTACCAAGAATAAAAAGCATCGCCTTAAGATTCCATGCTTACACAAACAAAACCGGATAATTGCGAGATGTTGGGACTGAAGAAATTTATTTTTTCTTACTTATGCGATTCGAAATAATAAGATTAACATTAAATATATATTTTTTTAATATAAGACAATTTTGTGTTATTTAATAATATATTATTTATATATATTATAATCATTAAAGCCATCAAATTTGGCATCTTTAATATACTCATTGCGTTTATTAAAAAAATTTCAAAATGATTGAAAATATTGTCTTCCAATTTGTGTCTAATCTGGTTATTACTATATGTTTTATTAAAAAATTTTAATTACAGGATATAAGTTAATTATTAAAGATATGGAGTTGTATTTGGTTATTTAGTAAATTGATAATGGCACCTTTAATGTCCCTTATTGAAATATTTAACTTAAATTAATATTGTTAGACCATTGTATTTGGAAGATTTCCTTTCTAAATTGACTTTCTATTTTTATTCTACTTCTAATTATAACTTATTTATATTTGTACTTCCTGATAATTTTAAATCTGCTACTTTATTGATAGAGGGTTTAGTTCCACACATAAATTATTTTCTGGATAATAGGTTTGTCGGTATCCTGAAAAAAATTGGCTAAATTGTATGAAGGATAGGCCTTCATATAATTCACGTTCGCTCATTTTGGGCAGGTCTGTGACCAACGTGCAAGATAAGATAAGAAATTTGAGTTTGAGATAATCCAAAATACGTAAATCAATTCGTATAACCACTAAATCGCCATGTTCAAAATCGCCAAAACGTCCAATAACACCCTCAAAACATCCCCAAAAAGAGCTTCAAAAAAATGGCCGCTAAAATTTAAAAAATAAGCCAAAGTTGTTTAGAAAGGATTATTTTATTTATAATATTTAACAGAAACCTTTTTGCATCAATATGAATTTACAAGATTATTCCAGGATACCAAATATTCAATTTAAAGTAAATTACCATTATTACGAATTGACATGAATTTCAATTTACATTTTTAAACTAACATATGGTCATATTTCTAAAAATATTTAAAAAATGAGTGTAGAAGTTTTTCATTCATTTAATATCTCGCTATTTAGAGAAATTTTTATAAACCTTGGCACTGTTTTCGAAAAAGTAAACGACGAAATTATGGGAAGGAATTTCAATTTTTGACTTTCTGCATTATGGACATGGATGACTACAACTCTGTTGGTATAGGTCAGATATTTTTTTTTCTTTGATTTCAGGTATATTTATTTCTAACTTATAATTAGTGGGTTCAGGTATATTGATTTTTAATTTATAGTTTATGAATATATCCTTTTAACACATACATAAACTTAAATATATCCTTTTAATTCATATTGTATTTTTTTAAAGATGTTTTATCTCTCTAAATTGGTAACTTTATTTGTAAATTATATTAATTTGCATGATACTATAATTTATATCCCCTCTTTAATAGAAATACTCACTGTTTCTTATGTTTAAAAGTTAGTATTAATACTTAATATCCTATATTTATTAATACCTTGACTTAATATTAGCTAAATTTGGGTATTTTATAGGAACAATATCTTCACATTTATGTATATGATATATCAGATTTGTCTGGTAATATAAATACTCAGATTTGTCTGGCAATATTAATACAGAAATAGTTAATTATATAGTTTGTTTCTCTTAATTTGAATTTTTGGTTTAAATATGTTTTAATTTACATAATTACTTAATTAATCTAGGTTCCTTCTTAATTAAAGATTCTCTTAATTCCTTAAACTTTTTTGACATTAAATTTTATAGTTGTATATGCTTTAATGGTTCTGGATTATACATTATTCCTTTTTAGCTTGGAATTGGTTCCCTTTTCAGTCAACTTCATAAAAGATAGTTCATTTTATCAGTATACATAAATTATGCTTTTAAGAATGATACTTTCTGTGAAGTATTATTATCATTATCCAGAATTATATATATATTTTTTTTTATAAAATACACCACACCAATAAAACCCTAGGTTTAGAAAGTTAAATATCTAGAATTGTCATTGTAACTGATTTACTACTAGTGGATAAACATTAATATTTTAAATTTAAAATTTTATACATGTTATTTTTATAGTAGTTTTTAAATTGTCATATTACAAATATATCTGTTAATCTTCCTTCTTGCTTTAAATAGCCTTTAGTTGGTTTACTTAGTATAACTTATATTAATTATTAGCTTTTTTCTGGTTTTTTCTTTTAATTGATACCGTTTCTCTTTATTTTCTCGAATTGAGCTTGACATAACACAAACATATTAATGTTAGCACATTGTAACATTATCTTATATTTAATTTGGATTTATCTGATTAACGAAATACATATTACATTATACTTTATTATTTATATATATATATGTATATATATTCATAGTTCATATTATGTATATATTCCTCAGTTTGCATATTTTAGGTTGGTTTTTAACTGTCCATTAGATTTTATATAAATATGAATCCCAAACACAACGTTAACATTATATTATGTATATATTATTTTATATTACGTATATGAGGCTATATATATATATTTGTTTGGACCTTGAATATCGTATATTTTTTATATTATTACGTATTCTGTCTATTTATTAATTTTATTTATGTTTTTCTTTTAATATTTTGTCTTGGCTAAATTTATTTTTAATATTTCATATTTTTTTAACTTTCTAAGCGTCACTGTTATATTAATTCTTTTGTTTCTCTTAAAATAAAAGTTTTTCTAATATTGGGCACCATCGATCTATCTTTTCTTAACATTTAAATTTTTTCTTTCTTGCTTTTTGGATATGTCTTATACAACTTGTTATTAATATTTGTATTTATTAATTTAGAGCTCAGTATAATTTATAATTTTGGCTATTGTAAAGTGATTAGGTTATCCTACCCTGAAATTTTTTCCCCCTTATTATTGTTTTACTTATTTATTTTGATTTATAGTGTTTTTTAGATTTGAAAATGTAGGAATAACAAGTCTGGAAAACTAGTGAAAATGTAGGAATGACGAATCTGTAAATACTTTTCTTTGAATTACAATGTTAGAATAAAAAATTTTTCTTTTATTTAATATTTTCTCAAAATTATAAATAAAAATTTTTTTTTCTTTTCCTTTCATAATTTGATTTTTTACTGAAGTTTATTTAAATTAGTAAGTTTATTAAATTTTTCTATAATTATTTTTCAACCTTGATGTTTTACATTTCCATTCATTTGTAATTCTTTACTGGCCGTTTCACCCGAAGTATCTTTTATTATTATAGTTATCCTTACAAATCCCCTTCTGAAGTTTATTTCTATTCTATTTCGATTTCCTTTCTTTTAGAATTTCCTCCCTCCCTAAGTATAATAATTTTAACGTCAAGAGGCTTTCTGTAATTTGCTACGTCATAATTCTTTAACGTTAAGAAACTTTCTGTAATTATCTTTTAAATTTTAAAAATTTTCTGCTAAAATTTTATTTCCCCCATTTCTTTGCCTACCCAACATAGTCGGATCGAAACAGCAAAGCTCATGCATAAACTCAAGGGATCACTACTTATTTCTTCCCTAAATATCAATGGCTTATGGAATAAACTCGCCATTTTACTTAGACTAATGACAGATGAAAAAATCGACATAATTGCTTTACAGGAAACCCATGCCACAGGTAACGTTACGGCAACATTTAATCACTATATTCTATACTGCTCTGGAACCACTTCAAACAGCTGGTCAGGTGTTGGGTTTCTGGTAAACAAGAAAATTCACAATTATATAAATAAGTTTACACCTATCTCAGAGAGATGTGGGCTACTATACATCAACACAAACTATAGGCAAACAATACTGGTTAACATCTATGCACCTCCAAATAGGAGAGACAGGTTACTCTTCCTTGACGATCTGGAAAACATAATCAATACCCTACCCAGAAGATATAACATAATCTTGTTAGGTGATCTAAATACTAGGATTGGTTTGGAGGAGATTATAAAAGGAACAACATTATTGAAAATGCAGCCCTCGCACAGCCTAATGGGGATGACAGTCGGAAATTGCTTGACTTATGTAGCAGTAACAATCTTAAAATCGAAAATACTTTCTTCTCTCATAGGGAGATAAATACACTCACCTTTAAAAGGGGAAATTACTTTTCGCAGATAGACTTCTTTATCTCAAATGTCCACGGCCAGTGACCCCTACAACGGGGGGGGGGGTCCGAAGCAACTGCTTCTATAAATTTCTATGGGGGTACTTTTTTTTTTTTAAATTTATTTTAAAAATTTTTATGGTCGATGTTTAGCAAATTAGTTTGTTATCCGATATTTCTTATCATAAAATTATTATTCCACTTTCAAGATTTGGCGCAAAATTAAAATTTTATCAATAGTAAAAATTTAAATATTAAATCTTATATATAATCATTTATAATTTTTAGATCATTGTCAAAATATGCCCAAAAATATTAACCAAAAAAAATATAAATGCTTGATTAAAAATTGTACATATCATAATATAAGAGATGATAAATGGACAGATCATATTAGAAAAAGACATGGTGGGCTTAATTTTCACGATATAAAGAAAAGCTTTGAAATAGTGGCTTTTAAAAATATTTCTCAAAATTGGACAAATAGCAAAATAATTTTTTTTATTAAATAAGAAGTGAGAAAAAAATTAAGGGATTAAAATCTAAATTATATTCAAATCTGTTATCATATAATAACATAAATATTCTTATTGAAACCATCAAAAATATGGTTATAAAAAAAATTCAAAAGGAGATTGAATTCAACAGGTGCTATTCAATTATAGTTGATGGCACATATGATGTATCGAAATCAGAAGCAATAGCTTTGATAGTGAGATATGTTGAAAATAGCGAGACACCTAAGCCCGTTGAAAGGCTGATAGACATTTATTGTACGGGAAATACAACGGGCCTCGATATTAAAAAGAATATAATATCCAAGCCTGGCTCCATGAATCTACCCCTCGAATTCCTAGTGGGGCAAAGCTATGATGGCACCTCAAACATGAGTGGAAGAATTAATGGAGTGCAGGCTTTGATTAGAGCGGAGGCGCCAAATGCAGCTTTTATTTGGTGCTATTGTCATCGATTAAATTTAATAGTTGTTCAATTATGCCAATCAGTAAAAGAGCTGCGAAATGTCTTGGGAATATTAGACGAAATTTACGTATATTTTAATGGTGTTAAAAGATATGAAGTGCTCAAAACATGTCAGAGTGATTTACTGACAAAATCACATAGATTTTTACGCATCAAGAATACCACTCGGTAATATTATCTTAATTGTTTCGATATATAATGTTTATTTTATATTTATAGAAGCTGGCTAACATCATATAAGGCGATTGTAAATTTTTTCCTACTTTATGATGCTTTGAGGGCAGCTTTGGCAAATTTAAAGGATTCTGAAGATCCTGCCACTTCCACTATGGCTAGTGCTATATTCTATAGAATAGAAAAATTTGATTTTATTTTATCACTATGTGTTTTGGATAAAATATTGTTGATAACTAGCTTGGCTTGTACAAAATTGCAAACCATTTCGAAGGATATAGGGTTTGCAATAAATCAAATTCAATTGGCAAAAGATTGCCTGATTAATATGAGAAGTATAATTTAAATTAATATCTTTTATTATTTTATAATCCTAAAATAGATAATAACACTGAATTTTTGGATGTCTTTTCAAAGGCCCAAGATTTTATGAAGAAGAGAAATTTACCTTTTGATTTTGAAAGTTCAAGACTTCAAACATTACAATCCAAAAAGGAGAGGTATATATATACTTTCATCATTAAATATAATATTTTATTTTAGCTTTAAAATCAGTGTGTTTTATGCTGCACTTGATTTAATTATTATGCAGTTTAGTGAAAGATTTAACGATGAATCGATAAAATTTTTGAGTCAAACATCATTTTTTACCCCAAAGGGAATGGCGGAAAAGGCAATTGTTAAAGATGATATCAAGGATATCTGTGAATTTTATCAATTAAATACAAGTCAAGTTTTTGAGGAAATGTTGATGTTTAGAAATATTTATAAAATGGCTAAAACGGGGGACGTAATTATTACTCGTGACCTAGAGGTTAAAGAAGATTTGTCAGATTCTGAGAATTGTAAATTTATTTAATTAAAATATTTTTACTAATACATTATTTAGCTTCTTCTGATGATGATAATAATTTTGAGATGAATGATTAAGACTGGAGAAACTATTCATTTATTTTACCTTATCGTCTGCTTATAAATTTTTCTGCTTTCCCAAATTTAACAATTTTATATAAATATTTATTAACTATTCTTACTACATCATGTACTGCCGAAAGGGTCATGAGTAAAATTAAACTAATTAAAACAAGACTTCGTAGTGTCATGAAAGATCCATTTCTTAATAATTTAACCATTTTATCAATGGAAAATAATTTATTTAAACAATTAAATATTGATGAAATTATAAATTCTTTTGCTTTCTCTTCCCCTAATTTATCTAA